AATCCTAGCTACTCAGGAGGTTGAGATCTGACCATCAAGGTTCAAAGTGAGCCCAGTCAGGAAAGTCCAGGAGACTCTGATCTCCAATTAACCACCAAAAAGCCAGAAATGGAGGTGTGGCTCAAGTGTAGAGTGCCAGCCTTATGTCTGTGTACACAAGTCCACGTGCACACAAGTGCACATGCAGGGTCTCTCTCTCTCTCTCTCTCTCTCTCTCACACACACACACACACACACACACACACACACACGTGCCTTCTTAATCACCACCCAGTAACACAGTTCTGAAAAAAGTCTTGGCCTTCCCTCAAAACCTTCAAAAAGAACACCAGAGCCTCCCATCTCCAAGAAACCACAGTCAAAGTGCACTGGGAAAGTTGGTCAGGGTGCCTGTAGTTCTGAACACCCCCCCCCCCACTTCTTTCTTTCTTTCTTTTTTTTTTTTTTGCACATCTGTATTCAATTTTCTGTCCTTGGGGTTTTAAAGGGAACATTTATTCCAGGGCCAGGATTCTCAAGTTTTATGGTTATACAACTCCCTCCCAGGGCCAAAGAATGTTTGAGAAGTCTTAAGCCCAGCAAAGAGAATTAGTAAAACTATCCATATGAAAGTGAAATAGAAAAAGGAAAATTAAGACTTGTTCCAACTGACATTCAACCTCTCACTTTATTGTACAGTATTTCTGTTTGTCCTTCTAAAGGTTGGGGCATGCATTCTTCATGCAAATACAGGTAAAGGGCGTGTACACGTGCGCCAGGCCTGGAGGGAGAGGGCGCAGGTGAGGACAAAGATGTACAAAAGCGTGTCTTCTATGGTTTGTTTTAGCTCTATGGCAATTTTCATCTTAAATTAGGCTACATACTAAACTGGATTAATATAAGTTCAAAGATTTAATCAAAGAAATGTTTATAAACTGTTTAAAAGGTTTATAAACTGCTTAGTTTTTCCTACTTAGATAACTGGATACCCTTGATTTTTAAAAATGTTTTTGGTAGTAGATAGCAGTTTAAACCAAAATCAAAACCAAAAGAATATTTTGTTTTTAATCTAAAAAGTTTAATTAGTGACATTTTTTATTAAGTCAGCTTTAAGCTGACTGACATCTAAACATCATTGCCAAGAAATAAGAAAGGAATGAGGATAGGAGTCTCCCACCAACCCACGAAATACCAACTTGTGTACAAAATACAACCAAATTCCACATGTCCCTTACCTGCCCTCTTCCATTCTTCCCTTCAAGTCCTCAAACTCTGCACCTTGGTAATTTGTCCAAGCCTGCCTGCACAGGCTCACAGGCCCTTTATAGTCGACTCCTGAAATGTCCCAGAGGCTTCTCCTGATCCGTCAGACAAAGCAACACTCAAGCTCTGGGCCTGAGGTTTGCGACACAGCACACACCACCCACATTAGAGGCCTGGATATTGCCCAAGACAAACAAAATGTTTTGGAGAAACAAAGCAATTTGCACTGATCCACCCTCAGCAGAAAAAAAAAATGGAACTGGTACTCCTCCATAAAATGACCTGCAATACTGTCAAGAGCATCTGCCTCATAGAAACAAATCTCTGAGAACAATTAGAAGAAAAGCAAACTGACCTGGCCCACCCTTCGCAGTGCGGGGTCTGCTGCAAACACTCGAGGCCATGACTCCAAAGCTGAGACCACAGAGCCCTTTCCTTTTTGCACCTACTTTCTTTTATTCTTCTAAAACCAAGCAATCAAAGTGCCCTTTAGCACAGCTTCGCAGCAAAGATAACAGGTTGAAGTTCATATGGTTCCTGCCATAAACCACTCCAATTCTCCCTTGATTAGAAGTTGATAGAACTTAGTTTAGATTCTACAGCTGAGGGGAAAAACTATGATTCTGAAATTAGAATTTTCTTTTAAAACAGTGATTTCTCCATGGAAATTCATCTAGCTTCAAATCAAGTAATCAATATAATTGACTCATAATAAAGGTTAAAACCCTGTGGATTTGAGTTCTAGAGCAAATAAAGATGAATCCAGAATAAAAGCAAAGAAAGTAATACTGAAAAATTCTTTCTTCAAAACCCTCAATACATGCATATTGCATGTATATATACAATAAAACATAGATAATATACATACACAATAAAATACACTATAGTCTTACACATTTGCACACATTCCTATACACACACACACACACCAACACTTACACCTGGAGCTTTTTAACAAAAGTTAAGGAAATAAGGGCACTGTAGTTTCATGCCAGGCCAGTCACAGAAAAGAAATGGATTTTGTTGTTGTTAGTCATGGGGCCTGAACTCTGGGCCTGGGTGCTGTCAGCCCTCAGCTCTTCAGCTCAAGGCTAGCACTCTACCACTTGAAGCACAGCACCATTTCTGGCTTTTTCTGCTTATGTGGTGCTGAGGAATTGAACCCAGGGCCTCATGCATGCAAGGCAAGCACTCTACCACTGAGTCACCTTCCCAGCCCCAAGAAATGGATTTTTAAAATATTATTTTATGATAGATCATCCATAGTCCATGTAAAGAAAAGATGGCAAATTGGCTACCTATACATTTTTTTTTACTAACTTAAAATCTGACTCATCAAAATGAGTGGACATAACACACATCTTATAAAAGAAAAAAAAGCAAACATTGCTTAAATTCATCTAAAATGAGCAGTCTTTGGTTACATGTTCATATCACAAGGCTTGCTAGAAACAATTCCAATGGACTTTATTAGCCTAAGGAATGGAGCATTCCCAATTAGTATTTTCACAAGAGAAGGGACAGACTGGATTGTTGTTTAAAGAAACATGCATCTTTAAAAGTCCAAAAAGTCTTAAGACTGGGAACCTGAAATTCTAATGTCCAAGGACAAAAAGTAAAGGTGTCCTAGATCCAGCAAACAGCTTTTCCTTTGCCTTTTAGTTTTATCAAGGTCCCTTGCTGATTGGAGAATGCCATCTACAAAGAGAGTACAGCTTTCTCACATAGTCCATTGAATCACAGGCCAATCTTCTACTTGTACATGCACATGCACATGCACACACAGCAGAAATAATTCCTCACCAGCTACATAGGATCCTTCATCTAGCCAAGCTGACATCTCAAATTAACCATCACAGATACTCAATGGCAGTCATGAGATAGGCATCCTTGCCTTGCGTCTGACTGATCTCAGGGGAAAGTTTCCAGACCTTTCCTCACTCAATATGATTCAGCTATGGGGTTTTCACTTCTATTTACTTTTTCCTTTTCTCCAAACATGATAGGTATTGGATTTTTGTCTAGTGTTTTCTCAGCACCTATGTTTTCTTCTGGATGCTTTTCTCATATCACCTGTACAACTTGCTATTTCTCATCTTTATAAGATCCCTACCTTGATATATTTCTAGCTCCTACATACCAAAGTCCTCACCCACCACCATGGTGAGTCAACTATGTAAACTTCAAAGTCAGCCATGATCCTTTTATGTACAAATTCTAATGACACTTGCAATACAGCCTACTATCTGCTAGCATATATTAATAATTTTAGTTCTCAGAACCATTGTTTACAAGGCACCTACTACCCTTACTATTTTACAGGTGAAGAGATTGACAGACAGAATGTTTATGTGTCTTGCCCATGGTCATTAAGTATAAAAGTGTCTGACACAGGATTTAAACCAGGCCTCCTAAAGCTATGTACTGATGGTTCACACCTTTAATCCTAGCTACTCACAATGATGAGATCTGAGAATCATGGTTTGAAGCCAGTCTGGGCAGGAAAGTGTAAACTTCCAAAATGTAAGAAGTGGAGGTGTGGTGGGAGAGTGCCCAGCCCTTGAATTCAAGTTTAATTCCTAGTTAACACTGCACATGCATACTCTCTCTCTCTCTCTCTCTCTCTCTCTCACACACACACACACACACACACACACACACACACACCAAGACAGGCTACTCAGATCTAGATACCATTAATTACAACATTTGCCATCATGTCTTTCCGTAACTTTTTTTTACTGTTTACATACTTATGTTCAGATATAGGCAATGCTCATCTCATTTATTATTGCTGTATTCCTAGCATCAAGAAATGCAAGGCTAGCATTCACAAAATGCTGAATGAATGAAGGAACCCTAATCAGGAATGTGACAAAGTTCTACAGAATCATTCTGAGCCTCACTAAACACACAATACCATGTTGATTCAGTTTTAAGGAAGACTTGTTAAGTGTGTGTGTGTGTGTGTGTGCGCGCGCGCACTCGTGTGCGCTCATGTGCTAGTCATAGGCTCTGGTAGCCAGAGCCTAGCCACTATCCCCATGCTTTCTTGCTAAAGGCTAGCACTCTATCACAGGAGCCACAGTCTACTTCCAGCTTTTGGTGATTAACTGGAGATGAGAGTCTCACAGACTTTCCTGTCTGGATTGGCTTTGAGCCATGGTCATCTGATCTCAGCCTCCTGAGTAGCTGGGATTACAGGTATGAACCACTGATGCCTGGCAAGACTGTTACCTTTAAGAGAATGTTCCTCAAGCATCCATAGGCACAGATCCATCATCTACAACTTGTCCTCCCTAAATTAATAACACAAGAACTATTACCCCAGATAACTAGGTCAAAGAGCAAAGTCCTGAAAGTATGACTCTACCCTCATCCTGCTATGACTCTGCTCCTATCTGGAAAGCCTAATTAAGAGTCACTGGCAGCAATTTCAGGGCCATAACTTAATTCAAAAAGTGAACATCTGTTTTAGTTTTCCTTTTTGTTCCTGGCATTCTTAAAAGGTACACTGGGATGCAGGATCACTAAGGAAATAAAAAGATTTTTGTTTTTTTTAACTGTCGTAATGGTTCTACTGCCCAGTATGTCTGTGGGCATACAGCCCAGTATTGGGCAATTTAAACCTTCTCTGCGCTCTGGTTCATGCGATTCTGACAGAGTCACCATTTGCAATGTGCCTTAACTTGTCTTCAGAATATAGGCAAAGCCAACCATGCCTTAGCCACAAAACAAATTCTTTCTCAAGAATTTACCTTAGTGCTGCTATTTAAATCATGGCTTCAAATGTGGATTAACTTCAGAATCATCTTATCTCAGCTTTCTGTGTCTTCAAGCTTCTCTACTTGAACTCTGAAAAAAAAAAAAGAAAAATCTCTACTCAGAAATCTAAGAAAACAAAAACAAAACCAGCACCCAGTAAAAGATAACCCTTTGTGTCAGCATTCCGGATGGTGTGCTCTGGTGCATTTAGTGTTTTGAAGAGCTGTTTCTCTCTGTTATTTACTCATTTCACTCACTATATTATAGGCAGTAGGTAGGGCACATTTATAAAACTTGTATCCAAAGTATGCAATAAAAACACAAGTTTCTCCCCCTTCAACATCAACTTGGTGAATAAAGTCATTTCTATGGAATGATTCTGCAAAGCTCTTATTTTTCTGTAAATGAAATTTTATATATGTGGCCAAAAGGAAAGAATTATCTTCAGTAAATATAATACTTTCTAAATTCAGACTTATATTAAGATCCAAATAAGAGGCCTTGGGAAAAGAACCCCGAAACACATGGAGACCTGGAAAGAAGACTGGGTTGGAACTCACTCGGAAGTTAGATGTGCACATCCAGAAGGAACTAATAAAAGCTCAACTGCTTAGAAAATGCTTAGATGCTGGGCATAAAGCAAGACTGGTATAACTTGCCTACAGCATCCAGAAGGAATGATTTGACTAGAATTTGGTCTATGCCATGAATTCCAAATAGAGACCATCTTCAGTGGTTCAACAGATGGGGAAGAATGGACTAGAACGTTCTAGCATGTACTAGAACATAATAGTTGCCTACATGCATTTCTTCATATGATCTGCTTCAGGGGGTGTTATTGGAATGGGAGATAACTTACCTGGTCAGTCAGTCCTCACACTCAAAATGGCTGAGTGGTGTGTGAGCATTCTGAGGTACAGAGCAAGCAAGGCTCCAGCCCTAAGATCCAGATCACTTAGGTTTATTAGCTGGTTTGAGTTAAGGGAAGGTTTGAGGAAACCAAACACCTAATCTACTCTGGTATTTTCTCTGTCTCCTCCCCATGTCTGTTCGGCACTTCCTTGTATAATCATTGAGAATAGCCAGGAAAGACTTGATATCAGCACAATTGGCCTTAGGAAAGACAGCACCCAGAGACGCCAGCACTGTGAAGGCCCAGAGCTTGATAGTCCTTGGTTCTTAGTTTTTCAGCACTTGGTCAGAAGCCTACTATATCTGATATTGAGAGATATTGGAGCTCAACTCCAGAACCAGGCCCAGAAGAGATGTATTAGGGAGTCATCTTGTGGTGGGTGAGGGGAAAGGGAAGTTGTTCTATGTGAAATTCTCACTACATGGTGCAATTCAGGCAGTCATTAACGCATCACTTTATGCCACAGATATGGTTGCAATACACACAGACAGCTATTGGGTTTAAATAGACTATTCTTTGTGCCAAAAAATCATTTTGTTTTCTCTTCTCCAACAAATCTGTTTATTACTAAAAAGCTTTGGAGCTTTTTGAACTGGGCTAGTTCAATTTGAGCCTACCTTCCCCCCTGGGGATTCTTCTTAGTATTCTAAACTGAGGAGGAATTTGTCTGTTTTGGAAGAGGATAATCTCTTACTGTGCCAGCCACAAAGGAAGGTAAAATACAATTATTCAAAGAGAGCAAAGGCCAAGAGAACCACAAGGAGCCAAGAAGAAAGGATAGAAAAGGAAACACAGGCAGGTCCTCTCATCCTTTTCTCTTCTTTAAGAGTACCACTCTCTACTCAGTCGCCCCAAGTTCCTCCAGTGCCCTGAGGGCAGAAGAGTTGCTTTGGGCCTCTACAACTGCAGATAAAAATGCAGATCATGAGTTCGTGGACTGGGGCAAAGTCTGAAATCTAGACATAAAATGATTTAACTGTAAGAACCTAGTTTGCTCAAAGACAAAGCCAAGTATGGTGGTACATGCTTATAATCCCAGCTGCTCAGGATGTAGAGATAGGAGGATCATAGAGGCCAGCCTAGATAAAAAAGAGTTAGCAAAACTATCTCAGCAAGCAAGCCAGGCATAGTACATTTTGAAATTCCAGCTACTTGAGAGGTAGAGAGACAGGAGGATCATAGTTCAAAGCCAATCTGAGCAAAATAGTGTTTGGGCATCTGTCTTGACAGCGCTTGGCCTGAACTCAACCCTAGTACTACCAGGCTGGAGAGAAGCAAAAGAAAGATCTTGGTCTCACTAGGTAATAAAATTTTAGAATGTAGTACGTCAATGAGAAAACTAAACAAAATAAACCCAGAAAAGAAGAAGAATACAATCAGAAAAGAGTTCAAATTTAGTGAAAAGTTACCATGGAATAAACTAGTGAAACTGGGCATAAGAGCAGAAAAAAAATGTAGAAGAAAACGAGGCTCTGAAAAACAAATAACCCAAGTGGTTCACATGAAAGGAAAAGGAGAAGGGGGGATTCCCGCTCAAGGGAAGGAGGCCATCTTAGGTCTCCAGGACTCTCCCTTCTGATACTTCCCCCTGTTCCAAAGGAACTTTCACATGATTATCAATTGTTACATGCACAATCTCTGACAAAGCCTAGCAACCACTTCTAGACTAGGAGGTAGCTCATAGTCATCCCAGGATAGAGGTTTAAGGATGAAGTTCCTGGAAGACCTGACTTGTTCTCTGACTGTTTCCATTTACTCCCTAGATGCCCCGTGCAAGAAAAGAAAGCATGCTTGATATTTTCATGGAGCCCTGGGCCTGTCTTCTCTATCTTCCGGTACATCTCAAGATGGCTTTCCAAATTCCACTCAGAAGCCTCCAGTTTCCAGGAGACTCTCCCTGACTGTCTTGCCGTTTCATCGATGACCTTGCACCTCTCCCAAATTTATGACAAATGTCTGATTGTGGAGGAATATTGTCATTGCAACCAGTTCTCCCAGTCTTCAGGGGGTGTGTCCAACCTTCATCCTCACACCAAAACCCATAAATGTTTAAGAGCCTTACATAAGATAGTGTTCACATATAACCTACTCATGCTCCTGAATACTTGAAATCTCTGTATTGCTTATGATAAAATTCCTAATATAGTGTAAATGTTATCTAAATTATGCAGCGCAAAAAGTTTTTATATTTAATATTTAGAACATAAGGACAAGAATACTTTTACATGTTCAGATCAGATATAATTTTCTTCTTGCAGTATTTTCGATCTGACAGGAAGTGTTGGAATCCTAAAACATGGGACCCATGTCTCAGTTTCCAGAAATGGATGAGCCACAGCAATAAATACCCATAAAAATAATAATGATGGGGGCTGGGAAGGTGGCTCAGTGGTAGAGTGTTTGCCTTGCATGCACGAGGCCCTGGGTTCGATTCCTCAGCACCACACAAACAGAAAAAGCCGGAAGTGGCACTGTGGCTCAAGTGGTAGAACTCTAGCCTTGAGCTGAAGAGCCAAAGGACAGTACCCAGACCCATAGTTCAGGTCCCATGACTGACAAAAATAATAAAATAAACAAAATAATGAATAAATAAATGAAGATAACAGTATCATTCTTATTTGAATATTTGTAAACAATAACAAAATGCCCCCAGCTACTCATGAAGCTGAAATCTAAGTATCCAGGTTTGAAGCCAGCCTGAGTACAAAAATCTGTGAGACTCTTACCTCCAATTAACCACCAAAAAAATAAAAAAAATAAAAATGGAAATGGAGGTAAGCTCAGCTGGTACAGTACCAGCTTTGAATCAAAAAGCCAAATGAGTGTGGAGACCTGAGTCCAAGTTCCAGTACTGTGGCCTCTAAATGAACAAAACCATTGGTGTGTAGAAAGAAGCTCGGTGTTGGGTGGAGTCAGGTAATGACCTGTAGACATTACTGGGACTTAACCCAGTTTAACAGGAAATCCTTTTCCCTGCTTCTCATACATATGTTTCACTATATCAGTGCTTCAGGCTTAGTATCCTGCCACCATTAATTCTAGCTCCAAAACAGTTGATAGATAAAACCAATTACTAAGCAATAGGATTGTCACAGGAAGGAGACAAGGCCATGGCAAGGAGCAAGGGCAAAAATGGAACAGTGCCATTGAGAGACAAGCAGCAGGGACCCTGAGAGGTGAACTGTGGTGCCTTCACACCATGGAAAAGACATGTCTCAGTGGCACTCAGGTTGTCTGGGCTTCAGCTAGGCATTGTGTGGCAAAGAACAAACAATACAGCACTTTGTGAGTCTCAACCACTGGGACATATTCTATGCCATCATTCACAGGTGATTTTGTAATCCTAGACTTGTAATAATTTCACACTAAGATAATACAGATAGATAGATGATAGATGGACAGACAGAGAGATAAATAGATAGATAGATAGATAGATAGATAGATAGATAGATAGATAGATAGATGATACATAGACAGATGAATGTTTTCCTACAGCTAGCTTGTTGATTAAATAAATGTGGTTTTCATTAAGAAGGATGAATTCAATTGAACTGGCTCAGCCTCTCTGCCTTTCCTCTATTAATCTAGAAGAACTATATTTCATAGGCACCTGTTGCTGTAAGATCAGACTAGGGGGTTTACTAAGCAGGAGTCTTCTCTGGCTTATATGTTTGTAGTGTGTCACAGGTATATGCCCAGTGTTCAACAGATACTGCAAGGAATTAGTGGGCAGAGGGGTGGCTTGTCTTCTCTGGAAGGGCTTCCAGCTCTAGCACTCCATGAGCTGCAAGGAGATAGTCACAGTCAAAATAGCAACTGACGTGGAGGACATGTGAAGGAGAGGGAGCTAAAATAGCACGACAATCCTCCCTGGTAAGTGCAGAAACTCCCCCACTGCTCTGTCCTTGGGGTTAGTGTCCTACAGGGACATGATCCCTACTTGATGGGCTCTTTGCTGCTATTCAGTGGCCTTCCTACACAGGTTCATCAAGGAAATGTCAGACCTTGGACATTTCCAAATGTGCTTTTATAAAAGCCTTGGAAAAGATTCTGCTTCAAAGTTCAAAGGATAATGGGCATTATCCCAAATCACAGTGCAATAATTAAGATAATGAGAAGCACTTAATTCTCTCATGAAAACACGCATGCACACACACACATACACATACACAATTTT